TCTGTGCATTTGCCATAGTCAGACACATGCTTGGGATGTACTTCCTCTTCACTGTCACCTCTCAGAAACCTTGTCTTCTTTTAAGGCTCAACTCAGATGTGATCTCCTCATTGAAGCCTCCCCCCATTTCTTCCATTCTTGGTGTTCTTGTCCCCCTCCTTTTTCCTTGTACTACACTTATCAGTGTACCTATTGTATCCTCCATGTAGAATGTAAGGTTTTTGAGAGCAGGAACTATTTGGTTTTTGTTTTTGCTTTTGTATCCCAGCACCTAGCATCATGCCTAGCACGTGATAGCAGCTTAATAAATGTTCGATCAAATTGAATTGCAATGTCCTGTAAGTAAGTGGGGGTTTGGGTCTAGACCTATAACCAGTGATCCAGAGTAGAAATACAGATTTAAGAGCCACCCTTCTGCACTGAGATAATAGTCAAAGATGTGGGACTGGATGGGATTGCAAAGGAGTATTTAGAGAGATTAGTGAAGATCCTTTGTTGCAGAACCTATTATACCTCCTTAGCTGGCTCCACCCAAGGAATAAGAAAAGAGGCCATCACAGGAAACCGTAGTAGGATCGAGGTGAGAGGCAGAGAGAGAACCATGAGAGCACATATCTCTGGAGGCAAGGGAGACCCTGGCACCTGATAGGAGGAAGACTGATGAAGGGTTATTGGGTTGGATTAAGAGATTATTGGTAATATTTTTAGAACAGCAGTTCAAAAAGAACAGTGTGAAAGGAAGGCAGATTTCATGTTGGTAAGGAAAGAGGTTAGTGAGGAAGCAGAAGCACAAAATGTAGACATCTTTCTTTTAAATGAAGATTGGTGATGGAGCTGAGGAGAGACATGGGGCAAAAACTGGATGAAATAGCAAGGTCAAGGGAAGTAAGGAACCATTTCGTTTTGGCTTTATTTTCCCAGCATCTAGAACAAGGCCTTAACAAATGCTTCTTCACTGGTTGATTAAGGGAGTCGCCTGAGCAGGTCTGTAGCCAAATGTGAAGAAGACAGTGAAGATTCACAGGAGAAAGAGGATGAATTCTGCAGCCAGGTCTAGGGCTAGCGGGACAAAGAGGGATCAAGAGCCAGAGAGAGAAAGAGAGAGATTAGCTTTAGCACATGGTGACGCTTCCTACTCCGAGAAAGGAGGGAAACAAGAGAGAAGGGATGCTGATGCTCAGAACATTTGAGGCTCAGAAATGTTGAGAGACAAAACAGGAAATGGGAAAACCACTATTAGGTGGTTTTGACCTTATCAATGCAGCCCAAGGGTAAATCATTGTTGTAGGACCTGTTAAATGTTATTGCCACTCATTTCCTAGTTTGGGGTTTCTATCATACTTATTATTATATACATAATCATAGTTTTGTTCTTAGTGTTATATAAATAAAACCACCATCTTTTGTCTGGGAAATATAAATGAAGTGAAACTGCTGGCTATAAAATATATGTATACACATATTTGTAAATGTATGTGTATGAATATATGGTTATATATGTTTAATCTCTTAGTATCACAGGCAACTCCCTCTCTTTATACACATATACATATTTACATGTATATGTATATATATATATATATGTGTGTGTGTGTGTGTGTGTGTATATATATGTGTGTATGTGTGTGTGTGTGTGGAGAGAAAGCAGTTTTCATAGGCCAAGGAAATCATTGGTAGTTATTCTGAAACTTTAGAGGGCTGCCCATGATATCAAGTGACTCACCCAGAATCATGCAGTCTATATCAGAGGCAGGACTCGAACCCAAGTCTTTCTGACCCAAGCAAGCCCTCTATTCATTCTTCCACAGTGCCTCTCATTTTTTTTTCAAATACTAGTAAATCAATCTAAGACTTGGAGAAGCTAGGCAACTTTTGGATGGTCACATGACCTAGGGAAGTAGCCAAAGCAAGGACTTAGGACTTTAAGACAGACTCCTAGTTAATTCGGTGCTGAACAGAGTGCCCGGCACAGGGTAGAAGCTTAAGAATGTTTCTTTCCATTCTACCAAATTGTGTCTCAGTTATGTTCATAATTTCAAATAACCAATTTACAAGCAAACCTTTAACATACAACTAGTCCAAATTTGGGGAATTGTCTGTGTAGTAGATTCTCTTTTCTACCCTAAAAAAAACCCCCCAAAACCAATAACTATTCATGATGTTGCTTGATATTCTGTAACTAAAGGTTATATTAAAGTATTACCAGACTTCATGAATTACTCATGAGCCCTGATTAAGTACAACCAGATTCCAAGTGTTATAAGGTTGGGAATAGCGTCTTCAACCCAAATGCTTCCACATCAAAAAATGCCAGCAATAAAGACCTCGGGCTACTTCCATTACAAATTTGGTTCTTGCTTTTATAAAAAGACTATGATACTTGCATGAGATAATGACCATGTCAAGTGTTCCCAGTGATTAAGCCAAGTCATTCACTTCATACCAAATGCCAGAACTGGGAGCACGTGGCTAACTGGGGACTACCAGACCAGACCAGGGCCCTTTCTATAAGAGTGATGTGCATCCTATGCATCTCCAGTGTGCAACAGGGGGAGCTGAGGGAAGCTTCTCTGATGTTGTTTAGAAACCTTCAGCTAAATGCTTTTAGAGATTGTGTTCCCTGATTATTGATTGACCTATATTTTTTTTGGCAACTACCATGCCCTAGAGGGTCTGATTTGACAGGGAGTTAAGGTCCATGGTTAAAGCAAATTATGAAAAAGCCAAGAAAAGCAGTCTGACTTCCTAAAAAGATTCATTTCTTCTGTTCTTTGGAATGTTTCAAAGGCTACGTCACAGGCATTGTTTTTGAGCAAGGAAAGATTTGTTTTCAGATGACTGCCAGAGTAAACATCTAATCCCCTGGACAGTATCACACAAGAGCCTAAGATTGCTAAACCACATGTAGTTAAACTAAATAGGTTAAAAAAGCAGGTTAATCTCAGTCCCCTGGGACTTCGTGGGAAGATAGGGTATGAATGCCAAGCAGGAAGGTTGAGAAAGCACAAACTTGAGGGATGACCAGTTTACCTGCCTCAGAGTCCTGCTAATCTAAAATGAACACAGTCTTCTTTACTGTTTGCCCTCAGTGGTAATAGAATGCTGCCGTGGACAGTCCGACAGCTGCTGTACTCCACCTCGAGACATGGCTCCCAAACAGATGTTTTTAGCAAGGCAATAGTTTGAGAATCACAGGATTCCACAATTCCTAGTCATCACAAGCACACGTCCCACCCTTTCTTTGCAAAGGTCAAACATTCAAAAGGAATTGACAGAAAAGGCAAATTCAGTTTCTTTTTATTAAGCCTTTTACTCCACCCAAGCATGTCTTAATACCGTATACCTTGATACTTTGGGGTATCATTGTTTAGACCCTAGAGGTCATCTAACATAATCCCTTCATTTAGAAGGAAAACTGAGGAAACTGAGGTCCAGAGACTTTAAGAACTTGCCCAAGAGTAGGGTAGGGGAATAGCTGACTTACCATAGGATCATAGAATTGGGGCTAGACAGGACCCCAAAAGCTCCAGCAGGACTCCCTAATTTTATAGGTGAGGATACAGAGACCCCGGGAAGTTAAGTGACTCACCCAGTGTCACATAGAAAATGAATGGCAGAGCTAATAATTGAATCTGGGTTCTCTGTCTGTGGTTTCTCTGTCGAGGCAACTTAGTGGTACAATGGTTAGAGCTCTAGGCCTGGAGTCAGGAAGATCTGAGTTCAAGTATGATCTTAGACACTTAACAGCTGTGTGAGCTTGGGCAAATCACTTACTCTCTGTTTGCCTTAGTTTCCTCAGCTGTAAAATGAGGATAATAACAACACCTACCTCACAGTTTTGTTGTAAGATTCAAAGGAGATGATATTCGTAAAGTGCTTAGCACAAGGCCTGGCTCCTAGCAGATGCTATAAAAATGCTTATTCCCTTCTTTTCATTCCCCCACCCCAGTGCAGAATGCAATTGATTCACATCTTCTCATCAATACAATTCATGGACATGCCCTTTACTTCTTTTCTTTTAATTTATTGTTGTCTTCTGTTTTCACTCCATAATCGTTTCCCCTTGAGTTCTTTTCTACTCTACCCTCCCCCACCTTCCTCTAAGCCCTTCCTTGTAACAGAACATTTAAGCAAAGTCAAGCAACCCCCTCTGACTGTTTATACCACACTCCACATTCTCACACCCTGCTTCTCTATTCCACATCCTTTTGTGAATCTCCCACCGTGATTCTGTTCCCAATTCTAGAGGTCCTTCTTGGCTCACTTAATACCTAATCATGTAAATGGTTTGCTAAAATAGATACTTGGAGTTTCAATATTTCCTGAATTTCTGAGGTATTAAAAATCTTTCTACTAGCAATAAAGGAATAAATAAAGGAAGGTGATGCTTTATAGAAATCAATGCTTCTTTAAAAAAGTAGATGCCTATGCGACAAAGTTACCCTGTACCTGGTGTCCTTTAGAATAACAGATTTTTTTTTAATCTGGAAAAAACCTTAGAGATCATCTAATTCATTGCTTTCATTTTACAGATGAGGAAAATGAGACTCAGAGAGACTAAGTGACCCATGGTCTCTTAGGATCCAGTTCTTCTGAGGCTGGCCCAGTGTTCTTTCATTAATATAATTTATTAATACCTTAAATTGATGCTTCCAAATATGGAATGTTAATAAGCGACATTTTAATTAGCAAGACAACCTTCCCAGAAAGTGTATTTTAATATACTACAGATTGGACAAAAATAATAGTGGCATACTTCATTCAGAGGTTATCTATCAGAGAAACAACTTTTTTGCTCATCTTTCATGAGTATTAGTTACATGTCATCCAATTTTTTTATATCAAGATATCATTTGCTGTAAGGAATAGCTCCTTCATTTCCAAACAATCCAATCTAATTTTCTGGTTCGTGTACTCTCACTCTTACACACAGAAGCCATTGCTTTCAGAAGAAAACCATCCTAAGATTGATTCTAGCCCTACCTAAACTTCTCACATACCTGTGGCAGAGTCAACTGTGAAGAGAGAGGAGAAGTCTCCTGGAATGAGCTCATAGGCCACCACTCCATATATTCCAGCATCCCTGTCAGTAGCGACAACATTGAGAATCTCCGCGCCGGGCTGTGTGTGACCACTGATGCTTGTCACGTAGGAGGCCGGGTTAAAAACAGGTTGATTATCATTTATATCCTTCAGCTCCACTCGAACAAAAGCTTGGGCACTTAGTCCACCCTGTTGGATAAATGAGAAACTATTAAAAACACAGCTCTACTAAATGATGGATGGCAGGATAACCAACAGACTGAAACCAGAATGGAATTCTTAAACAACAACAACAAAAAATCTAAATTACAATACTTTTAACTTTAAGACACCAAATCTTAGTAACATTGTGTAATACCTTAGCTGTTTATTAAAACGCTAAGCAGATTATACAGATAATATTTCCTCGATAGGTATTACATCTCAAAAGTACAGATACTCAAGTGATGCAGTTACAATGCCTAATGGACTCCTCCCAGTTGCTCATGCCTTTTTCTCTAAGGTTACCTTGAATCTAGTCTGAATGTATTTTGTATGTGGTTATCCATATCCATACTGTCTCCTCTTTTAGAATGTAAGCTTCTCCAGGGGAGAAATTGTTTTCCTTTTATCCCCTATTTTTTTTCACGTGACATATAATAAAGACTTAATCACCGTTTGCTGAATGATTCAAGTACACTTGGTATCTTTGTTGGTAAGAGTATTATACCTTTAAATAGGCTAATGCTGGGGAAACCTAGGAAGTTTGTCTTTTCTGCTCTCACGTCTTCTTTTTGGGTAGGTCTTTCTCCCAGATTTCATCTTTCTCTTTCTCTCTCTCTCTCTCTTTCTCTCTCTCTGTCTCTGTCACACACACACACACACACACACACACACACACACACACACACACACCACACACCCCTACCCCTTTCCCAATGGTAGTAACAGATAGATTTTCCAGTGGGAAGTGACCTTGAGTCCATCAAGTCTAATCACCTCTTTTTGTTTGTTTGTTTAAGGAATATGACATTAATTTTCACCAGCATAAAAATCAACTGCTTCGTTTTTAAAATGATGTAACTGAGGCCCAAGAGAGATTAAGTGACTGACCTAATGTCGTTCTCGCTGTTCTTTTATCTAAGTAATTATCAGAAGTAGGATCTGAACCCAGATCTTTCTGCTGCTAAATTCAGTGCCCTATCTACTATTTCTCTCTAATTTTAAGTGTCCAGGTTCCCTCCACCACCACCTGGTCAGGCCTATTCTCCATATATTATTATTCAGGCTCCAAAACTTGCCCTCTTCTCTCTCCTCATCAAAATTCAATCATCTTAAGTCTCATTGCCTCAGGGTCTAAATGCCTTCCTGCTAATAGTATAAATTATTTCAAGATAGGGTGTTAATGATTGCTAAGAGCCTAATGTTAGGGTCCTGATTGATTAGCCATCCTTAGCAATATTGTAAGCACCATCTGACACCAAGTGACCTTCTAGCTGTTTGAATGGGAGAGGGGAGAGGGAAAAGAGCCCACTCCTTCCCTACTCTGATACAGTACAAACAAAATTGGGCCCTGATGAGGCATGTGGAAGGATTAAACAAGTAGCTTTTTGCTATTATGAAGGAAAAATCACTTTGTTTCAAAACTATCTGATTCAATAAAAAAAGAATGTAGGGAAGTAGGAAAGGGTGAGAAGCCTTCATTAACCTTTGGCTCTGGTATAGAACTGGGAATGATAGAGATGTAATGTTGCCTCCAACCTTCAAAGAAGTGCTAAGGAGGAAGGGTAGAGACTCAAGGTCTGGAATCTAGACCAAATAAATGGATGGAGCTTAAATACAAACCAGGTTTTTAAGGTCTTATTCTCTTCATTTTTTCCCTTCCTTCTTCCTAGTGGGCAGCAGAAAGTGACAGCAAGTTCTTTTTTGAGCAGAGAAGAACCAAGACACAACTTTCCCATCTTTCTAATGGGTTAGTAGCTAAAATTCACTGCATGACCTTGCACAGTGGAAAGAGTAGTGTTTATGGAGTCAGAGGACTTGTGTCCAAATCCTGCCTTTGTCACTTACTGTATGTGTGACTGGAGCAAATTATTTAGTCTTCCTGGGCCTCAGTTTCCTCATTAATAAAGTAATAGAGTTGAACTAGATGATCTCTGAAGTCCCTTCTAGTTCTAGACCTTTGACTGTAAGACAGACTGCCTGGGTCTAAGACAGGTAATATAACTGTATCCTATTTACAGGAATGTGTGTCTGTGCCTTTATGATTATTATTAATTATTATATTCTGAAATGAAAGATGCCATTTGTGATGGATTTGTTTCTTACATGTGTATAACTAAACTAACTAGATATGTCCCCAAAGTCTAAGTGTATTTGCTAAAAGTAAATATCTCTCTTCATCTCTCACTTGAGAAAATGTATTCTAGTGGGATTATTTCTGCCCATCAAGTATCATATATTGTCCAATACCATGAAGGATCTTTAGTTAAAAAGACAGCACTAACCTTTAACAGTTTTAATGGAAAGATGCAGGCATCAGGTTTTAAAGAGAGGCTGGCTCTTAACAGTTCTTCTGAAGAAATGAAAGTAGTGACTCTGCATTTTAAACGTGTGACTTGATGTCTTAGCCCAAAAGAATAAATCTATGAAGGAACTTCAGGCACTATCATATAAACTAGCATAGATATAGGATAGAAAGCTCCTGTAATGCTCTGTCCCAAGTCCCCTTCCCTCTTTCACTTGGTGATCTCACCAACTCTCATTCATTCGTCATATCTAGACAGATGATTCTATACCTATAGATCCTGTTCTAGTGCCTCAGTCTCTTTCTGAGCTTCAGTTATTCATTTCCAACTACCTCTTAGACATCTTGAACTGGGTGCCCCATAGGCGTCTCAATCTCAACATTTTCAAAACAGAATTGATTGTCTTTTGTTCCTTCCAAAAGTCCTTATTACTGTGGAGGGCACCACCATCTTCCTAGTTACTACACCTGCAACCTTACTCCTACGCAGCTAGAAAGTGTCTGAGGCTAGATATGAACTCATGAAGATGAGTTGTCCTAACTCTAGCCTTGGTCCTCTATCCACTGGGCTACCTAACTGTTCTTGGCTGTTCCCAACCCTGCAGGCTGCTAATGGCTTCCCCTCTTAGATTATCTTTGATCTACTCTGTATATAACTTCTATGTACCTCGTTACTTACATGTTGTCTCTCCCACTAGAGATTGAGCTCTTTAAAGGCAAGGACTTCCTTTGACATTTCATAGTATCCCCGCTTTGAGCACAATCCCTGGCACATAGTAAGCACTTAATAATGCTTGCTGACAGACTGATGGGAGGCCATTCACTCACATCACACAGAATAATGAACTGCCTACCAAGCCTAAAAGTAGGGCCAATTCTAGTCTTTCAGACCACTGGGGGACTGTTTAATATATTTCTGCTTTTGTGCAGTAAATATTCCCTCTGGTGGCCTGGAAAAGTCAATGAGGCTTCTTAAAATGCCAAACTTGTCTCTCAGAAAGCTATGGAAGAGCCCTCTTTCTACACCATGTGGCCCTTCTCATTAATTACCTCCCCTACCCCAAACCACAAGAAGCAGTTGCTGAGGCATAGAAACAATAGGAAAGGGTGTTGTGTGAAAGCAGCTGCCTTTAAGAGGGATGAGGAAGGGCACCAGGAAGTAGCCACTCTGTCAATAGATGGCACCTTCTCTTGTCCCATTCCCCATCCCCCATCCCCCAACAGCACACTCACTGAATGTATTTCCCGCCTTCTCTTAGGTACAGCGTTTGTGGCTACATTAAAACACAGTTTTCCATTTCTAGCTAATGCATGTTGGCACTTTGCTTTGATCATGCTAGGCTGCAACAGCCAGGGTATTTAAACCAAGTTATTCCTCTTCCTAATTTTTTTTTAAACCTAAGGGAGTAGGGAAAGGAGGAGAGAGTAATAACCTTGGCAGGAAGAGTAAAGAAGGTGATTGGCATGTTTGTATGTATAAGATATATGTGGGGAGTGGAGAGGGGGAGGCAGATTGTGGATGAACAGATGTCTGACTCTGGTAGGGTTGGGAGGAAAAATGACTCTTGCCTTGGGGGTGCACGGGGGATCACAGTTTGAGAAAGGTTGCTAAATACTCCTCTGGAAACAGCCACAATTTTCAGCTTCCCAGAGCAATGAAGTTCAAGGGCAAAGCTGATTACAAAGTGCAGAATCTCACACCGAGGTGGCTGATGGGGTGATGGCTGCAGCTGCCGCCATCAGCACTCCCTGCAATCCCCTGTTCCCCTGCTCTGGAAGATCAGGAAAGCAGTACAGACAGGGTAGTCATCTCTGCCACTGCTTTCCAAAAAGTTGTCAATGAAGTGTGATAGATGGAAGAAAGAAGAAACAGCAATCCCATGCTGCTTTGGGGAGTTAAATTTCATTCGACTCCTAAGATTAAAATCTGTTATAGAACTCCACCCAAAGTTACTTTTCTTCCCCCTGAATTCTCTCCTTCTTGTCTGCTCTCTTATTTGTATCCTTTCTTCTTTTTCTTCTCCAAGAAGGCAAACGGAAAGGATGGTCCAATTCGCCACGGGTAGGGTGGAGCAGAGAAGAAAAAAACCTTAAATGAAGAAAGTAAGATTTGTGTATAGTACCTGTTGATGCCTCTCCAATCCCTAAACAAAGACTTTGATTTTTAGGCTAAGTGAACTTCCTTCTGTTACACTCACAATCCAAGTACCTGTGTACAAAACCTAGTGATAGGTGCTGGAGAAGATACAAAAGCTAGTTAAAACACAGGTCCTGCCCTTATGCAATTTGCACTCTACTAGGGAAATATGACATATGCACCAATACCTCTGATAAAAAATAATGGCACACCTGAAGCATCATCTTCTCATGGGTAGGAGCCCCATAAAAGCTACCTGAGGTTCAACTCTGTGCGCTGACATCCACTTAAAACCGTTGTTCACAAATCTCATGCCAGTATTAACTTTCAGGCATCAGGCAGAAGACCTGATTAGTTTAAAGCAACAGATTTAGGGTGCAGAAGAAACACACACACACACACACACACACACACACACACGTATATGTGTATATACGTGTGTATGCACACACATGTATATATGTGCACACACATGTGTACATATATTTGTCCATATATATGTGCATTTGTACATATATATGCATATTTGTACATGTGTATGCATAT